ACCTAAAGAAGTGATCACCATGATAAGTCCAGCAACCATCTGAGACCATATAACATTATTACCATATTATTGACTATATTCCCTACGTGGCACATTACATCCCCATGACTTATTTATTTTTATAACTGGAAATTTGAACCTCTTACTCCCTTTTACCTTTTTTCCCCCTTCTTAAAAAAACATTTCAGTTACAGTTCACATTCAATATTATTTTATATTAGTGTCAGGTGTACAGCAGAGTGATTATACATTTATATAAGAAATGACCCCATTAGTTTCGTACCCGCCTGACACCATACATAGTTATAATATTATTGACTGTGTTCCCTGTGCTGTACTTTACATCCCTGAGACTATTTTATAATTACCATTTTGTACTTCTTAATCCCTTCACCTTTTTCACCCAGCCCCTCAGCCCCATATGGTGGAATTCTTCAGATTATTTTGTGATGTTTTAGAAGTTGATTTACTATTATCAAAAATGTCAATTTATACTTTTTAAAAGCACATGTAAAGCATGATGAAATTTTGACTACTACATATTCAAGAAAAGATAGGGAATACAGACAACAATTTATCAAGCATGAATTACCCTTGGCTGGTATAATTACAGATGACACCTACTATCTTGTTTTTCTTTTCAAAAGATTCTCCAAAAAATATCTGTTCCTAAGTAAAAAATCGTATAATGTCACTTTGAAAACGCGACAAGAGACAAATCTGTCTGTTGCTCAATTAGGGAGAAAATGTTCTTCCTCCTTTGCAGACCTGAGGTTCTGCACCAACATTTCTGGTCAAGCACCAAAGTTGGGGCTGGAAGTGGATAGATGCCGTTTTATTGCTATTCTCTTCACATTTTGGTGACATCCTTGTTATAATCCCTTTCGAAGAAAAACCCAATGATAATCCACCCTCCTCCTAGCATTGATATAGACACACAGAACCCACAGAACCCCAATAGTCATAACAGTTCAACCAAAAATAGGGTATCATACTCAGTTTTAAAGAAATAAGGAATGACTTTAACCAATTCCAAGGATCAGATAGATAGAAATTCTAAAGTTGGTAAACCAGGAAAAAGTAGATGGTAGTAAGAGAGGTAATGACAATTTGAGAACATAGCAATGTGATAATATAAATATGTTATAATATATAATGTAATAATAACACAAATATAATAGTACTTACTTCTAAACTGTTATGAGAAATAAGTTAAATAAGAAACTGCATATGAACATTTAGCACAGTCCATAGAAAGTACTCAAATAGTAAACTAATAAATTGTTAATCAAAGAAATAGAGGCAAAACATCAAGTTCAAGTTGTGTTTGATGGTTAAGAAAGTTATTTATCTCATTTTTAACAGATCTTTTATATCATCTCAATTTTAAGTCA